AGTTACCAAAATCGTGTTTGACTTCCTCAACAAGATAGGGATCAAATATCGATTTCCTAGTCCAATCAAATATTGGGTCAAACAAGCTCAACTAGAGGCTTATGGGAAAGTATATGGACACCTAGAAAAATTAAATAAGTCTCTGGGCATTTGGTTTGATTCAGATAATTATAACATTTTGAGATGCGAAGGACGTCTGCTTCATGCAGAAATAAATTTAGATACAAAGAATCCTATACTTCTACCACGTCACCACATCATAACTAAACTCATAGTTCTATGTTACCATAAACATGGTACATTGCATGGTGGAGTATTAGATACTCTCACTGATCTTAGACAGAGATTTTGGCTTCCCCAAGGTCGCCGAACTGTCAAATCCTTAATCAAAGGATTGGGTTACCTTGGGTTAACTCCAAGTGCACTTTGAGGTAACTTCTGACATGAGCGCAGAAGCCTTTTTCCAAACCTTTCGCAGATTTGCTGCACACAGATCTTGCCCAAAATTAATGATTTCAGACAATGGACTCTTACTTCGTGGCAGGAGAAGCCTGCTTACGAGAAATATGGAACCATCTAGAAGTACACTCTGGGCTCAAACAGAGACAGTACCACTGGAAATTCATTCCTCCAAGAGCACCATGGCAAGGCGGTTTTTATGAACGAATGGTGTGAACTGTCAAGAAATGCCTCAGAAAGGCCTTACAATGGCAGAAAATTAATCTCACTGAACTGCAAACCCCTTGTCACAGAAATTGAGGCACGAGTCAATAACAGACCATTAACCTATCTATCGGACGATTTCTCCCAAAGAGAACCCCTGAGTTTCTCTCATTTGATTCATGGTGGTCTTCTCAGCTCTCTTATATCTCTGGGAGATGAGGATCCGGCTGACCCTTCATGCGTCAGAGCGAGTGACTTAGTGGAGAGTTATAAACTTCTTTCAAGAGTGATAGAGAAATGGAATGAGATCTAGACACGTGAATATCTCACTGCTCTAAGAGAATATCACTATGGAGCTGCAAGCCCATATAATAAAATTCAACTCAAACCAGGTGATCTTGACCTAGTAGACAGTGATGGACCCAGATCAGATTGGCCTATATGCAAAATTGTTGATATCCATCCTGACTGCCATGGTATTTTATGAATTGTTAATGTTCAGTGTCGAGGCACTACTACTATATAAATGCTGGAGATGAGAGTACCTTAGAGTTAGCAAAACATGAATGTTCTACAGAGATACCTATAACCCAAGTTTCAGAGGACAGTGATTCTGCCCAACAGAGCACTAGACCATCTAGAGTCGCTTCTCAGAACTGTAAACTGAAACTTAAACAATATTTTGATTTTTATTAAGTGTAGATAACTCATCATTTAAACTTGAGGTGACCATGCTGATGCAGTGATGAGTTAATGTCCAGTAACCCGACAGTTACGAGACATAGTGACCCTGGACAGTGACCTCATTGTATTGTCGAAGTCTCCTTGATCTTAAATGATCTAATTATGCATGTTTCATTTTAATATTATTATTCTGTTTCTTACAGATAATTGTTCAATATTTTCAATGTTTATTTACATTCCGATGGTGACTTAGAGTCATATCTGCCAGATTCAGGACATTCGTTAGGTGCGTACTAACCCATGAACATAACTTTAGGATGGAGAGACAGGTGTACGTTAGTACAAAGACCTGAACTACGACCCGAGTTCTCTCCCCCCAGAGTTATGTTAAAAATAACCACCAATTTTCATACATCCTTTGTATTTTTATACAACATTTTTGTATTAACCAAAAGTAGTTAAAGTAAGTATTTTACAAATTAGTAAAAATTACTAATTTGTAAAATTAACCATAATCATGATTTTATAAGGCGCAATATTCTGCCAAATCCTTCCTACTGCATGTTTCGACAGGCAGCCACAGGAATATTTCCACATATTGTTGGATTTAAACAGTCAAGTTTATTACTTCCTTGCTTGATAATTGCTTACCACCACTCCAATGGAAATTATTAAAGGGTAAAATAATTCCCCTTTATATACCTCTCATTTATTTACGCAATTTTAGTAAACCGACTTACGCTGCGAGAGGTTATATTATAACATGAAAAATTTAATTGTGACATATATATTAGTCACAACCTCTTCCTTTCCTAATTAACTTCGAAATACATAAATTCATTTATGCTCGAGGTACCTAGCTAGAGCCGCACATGCGCATTCAGGGTAAGGAAGGAGGAGACTTGATGCCATTAACAGCGTTCGTGCACGAGAAGAGCGTGGGCATCCATCTTGCTTGAGTTACTGTATTGCAGAGCGCCCACTAAACGACTCAGATTTACATCACCCTTGCAGCCGCGGATGCCAGAGTTCGTGAAAGTCTACATCTGCATTCAACACAAGTTCCGGCGAGCATAATTCCTCTGGTTTCCTACTGATATTTTTTATAGAGTGCACTTTGATAACATTTTCACGTGTAGGTTGCTTGTTCGTTACACCACGCGATAACAACATAATCAGTTTCGTTAGTTTCATTTAATTCCTGGCTCCCACTTTCAGTCAGAAATAGTGGTATATTTATTCTAGCCTAGACAATTTCTACATTTAATCTTGCTTTCAGCTGGAGCGGTAGCAGCGAAAAGGGAAAGAATAACTTTCCTCCATGTGTATGCTTGAGCCACGTGTTGCAACAAGTGCGCCCTCGTGACCGCTCCACACATGTTGCAATCAAATCAACGGAACAGCTAAGCTGACGTTGTATTTCTAGTAGTGTAGTATTTTTAATAGAGTACTACATTTACATAAATGATTTATATTGAAAATTGCCATTTACTTATTATTTATGAGTGATATCCAAAATTTACTAACTTCATTTTATATTGATTTTATGTGTATGAAATATAATATGCATTTACATTTACATTTGTTTCTAACGGAAGAACCAGCGTTAGATTATTGGTGCTAGGACGTATTCACATCTTAGCGCTCGTACCCCCCAATTTGTGCAAGAAAATTTGGCTCGTATTTTCATGATAAATAATGTATGCCACCACTGACATTGTTCATGATGATGTTACATAATGTATGCCACCACTGACATTGTTCATGATGATGTTACATAATGTATGCCACCACTCACATTGTTCATGATGATGTTACATAATGTATGCCTCCGCAGGGAAGCCGGTCGACCGAGCGGACAGCACGCTGGATTTGTGATCATGTGGTCCTTGGTTCGATCCCAGGCCCCGGCGGGAAACAATGGGCAGAGTTTCTTTCACCTTATGCCCCTGTTACCTAGCAGTAAAATAGGTACCTGGGTGTTAGTCAGCTGTCACAGTCTGCTTCCTGGAGGTGGAGGCCTGGTCGAGGACCGGGCCACGGGGACACTAAAAAGCTCCGAAATCATCTCAAGATAACCCACAATGTTCAAGATGATGTGACATAATGTATGCCTCCACCCACAATGTCCATGATGATCCATAGGCCCATTAAGATCCATAATACACTAGTTCTTGGTATTAATATTAAACCACTTGCTCATTATTTGTTTTCCACTTTTTCTCAATAAGTGGTGTTCCTTCGTAGCTACTGAAGTTTTATAATTTTAATTAATTCAAACATTGGAGTCAGATTTTCCCACAAGGCATACATTATGTCACATCAACATGAACATTGTAGGTGGAGGCATACATCAGGTCATATCACCATGATCTTTGTAGGTGGAGGCATACATTATGTCACATCAACATGAACATTGTGGGTGGAGGCATACATCAGGTCACATCACCATGATCTTTGTAGGTGGAGGCATACATTATGTCACATCAACATGAACATTGTGGGTGGAGGCATACATCAGGTCATATCACCATGATCTTTGTAGGTGGAGGCATATATTATGACACATCATCACGAATATTGTGGGTGGAGGCATACATTATGTCACATCAACATGAATATTGTGGGTGGAGGCATACATTATGTCACATCAACATGAACATTGTGGGTGGAGGCATACATCAGGTCACATCACCATGATCTTTGTAGGTGGAGGCATACATTATGTCACATCAACATGAACATTGTGGGTGGAGGCATACATCAGGTCATATCACCATGATCTTTGTAGGTGGAGGCATATATTATGACACATCATCACGAATATTGTGGGTGGAGGCATACATTATGTCACATCAACATGAATATTGTGGGTGGAGGCATACATTATGTCACATCAACATGAACATTGTGGGTGGAGGCATACATTATGTCACATCAACATGAACATTGTGGGTGGGGGCATACATTATGTCACATCAACATGAACATTGTGGGTGGAGGCATACATTATGTCACATCAACATGAACATTGTGGGTGGAGGCATACATTATGTCACATCAACATGAACATTGTGGGTGGAGGCATACATTATGTCACATCAACATGAATATTGTGGGTGGAGGCATACATTATGTCACATCATCATGAACAATGTGAGTGGAGGCAAAATTAATGTCACATCATCATGCACATTGTGGTGTTGGGGGCATACATTGTGTCTCACAAGGGACAAGTTACAGTAATGTACAGTGTATTTGCTCACGTACTACTGTGCCAGTCCTTCCCTAGCTTCACGTACTGTGCCTCCCCACTCCCTCCTCTCTCCCAGTAACCCCCTTCCCCCTCCCCCCTCCCGTCTCCTCCCTCTCCGACACTATCAGCTGTACAGAAACACCCGGCAGTGTCCTTATCACTCTTTGAGAACTCTATCACTGATAGTGTTCTTATAGAGGGAAACTCCCATGCACCAAATTCAATAAAGCTGATTATCTTAATGATTACGAAAGCAATATGTTTTTATTGCCCGGTTCACTTGCCTCTATATTGCCCATAAACACTTCCTGATTATCCCAACACAATATCAGTCACTGGATTGTTCGGAAATAGATTATTAATATATATTTTGTTTGATGCTTGTATTACTTCATTTGTCCTTGTCAGTAGTTCAGGAGTGAGTGGTGAAGCAAGCTGACACTGTGGGACTCTTGTCAGTAGTTCAGGAGTGAGTGGTGAAGCAAGCTGACACTGTGGGACTCTTGTCAGTAGTTCAGGAGTGAGTGGTGAAGCAAGCTGACACTGTGGGACTCTTGTCAGTAGTACAGGAGTGAGTGGTGAAGCAAGCTGACACTGTGGGACTCTTGTCAGTAGTTCAGGAGTGAGTGGTGAAGCAAGCTGACACTGTGGGACTCTTGTCAGTAGTACAGGAGTGAGTGGTGAAGCAAGCTGACACTGTGGGACTCTTGTCAGTAGTTCAGGAGTGAGTGGTGGAGCAAGCTGACACTGTGGGACTCTTGTCAGTAGTTCAGGAGTGAGTGGTGGAGCAAGCTGACACTGTGGGACTCTTGTCAGTAGTTCAGGAGTGAGTGGTGGAGCAAGCTGACACTGTGGGACTCTTGTCAGTAGTTCAGGAGTGAGTGGTGGAGCAAGCTGACACTGTGGGACTCTTGTCAGTAGTTCAGGAGTGAGTGGTGGAGCAAGCTGACACTGTGGGACTCTTGTCAGTAGTTCAGGAGTGAGTGGTGGAGCAAGCTGACACTGTGGGACTCTTGTCAGTAGTTCAGGAGTGAGTGGTGGAGCAAACTGACACTGTGGGACTCTTGTCAGTAGTTCAGGAGTGAGTGGTGAAGCAAGCTGACACTGTGGGACTCTTGTCAGTAGTTCAGGAGTGAGTGGTGGAGCAAGCTGACACTGTGGGACTCTTGTCAGTAGTTCAGGAGTGAGTGGTGAAGCAAGCTGACACTGTGGGACTCTTGTCAGTAGTACAGGAGTGAGTGGTGGAGCAAGCTGACACTGTGGGACTCTTGTCAGTAGTACAGGAGTGAGTGGTGGAGCAAGCTGACACTGTGGGACCTGACTCTGCTCTTAACACAGGTAATATGGCGTGTATGCCATACAGATGGACCTCGGTATTATGGAAGAGAAAAATTTATAATTACATGGTCATGAGAAAAGTTATGATTACTTGTTAAACATAGTTATGTCTATGTTTGCTATGAGGAAGGTATGGTAGTGGTCGGTTGTTCTGTCTGACTATATTAGAGGCAATAGGAGGGAGGGGAACTATTATGTTATTCCTTATGTGGTCCAAGGGTTTAGCACATGTTTGGGGGATTTGTTTGGGCTTGGTGATCGTGGATATTACCACATAGAAGTTTATACATTCAAAGAAGCAGTCGACGTGAGGTTTACAAAGGTCATTTGATTGTTGCCGCCTGAGGCAGCTAGTTTATTGTGCACCTCATACCCATCCTGTGAGCGGTAGCGCAAAAAGCATTACAGAGGGCACAAAAGGGTCTTTATCAGACCTCATCTTAGATTATTACATAAACAATTTCATCTATCCTTCACACGTTATAGTTACATTGTCAGCTAGTTACAGAGAAAGTACTATTTCAAGAGCTATACATTTACAGTAAGTCATTATATATTAATGGTAGGTCTTATCGCTAATACATAATAGTTTAACCAATGGAGATAGTCATAGGGTAGCTTCTGTTTATTATTAGTCTTCACAATACACTACTTGTTTCTTCATCTCATATGTCGTTTATCTACTGGATGCGAAATATGGATATAATGCAAGGATTTCAGGTAATTCATCCATGGTAATAAGATAGATTGCCATATCATACAGAGTGAGCGTAGATTGATCTCTAAATGGCTCAATTTTACTACAATCCAAGATATAGTGTTCGAGTGTGTGTCCCTGCCTATGTCCACACACTTTACACTTTACTTCATCTAGATCCCTATACAAGCCGAACTGCCAGAGATACTTGTAGCCAAGTCTTATACGAGCTGTGACAACATCTGTTAGTCTACTTTGTTACTTGCCCCATACACATGTTTTACTTCACACATTTCATTGTGATGAACAATGGACCTGCTAGTTCCAGTTTGTACAGTTATGGAAGGGATGCGGTGCGCCTTGCACCCAAATGCTTAAACTGCATCAGTAAAGAGGCAAAACAGATTGGTATTAGACTCAACCCCACAAAGACAAAAGCCATGCCCATAAAAATAGCGAAGCCCAACATTTAACTCACAGTACAGAGTCAACCAATTGAATGGGTGGACACTTATCAGTATCTAGGAATAATCCTGGACACACACATGAATTTTAATGCTGAGGTCACTTAAGAGAGCGAACTGCGGCTCGGACGGCAATCCTCAGGTAGCTAACATCCCTCTCTGGAGGAGCTACTCTGCAAGTCCTTCGCACATACTATGTACAGACAGTCAGATTAGTGATCGACTATGCCGCACCTGCACTCACAAGTCTATCACATCATCAGTGGAAAAAGCTTGAAGTTGCCCAAAACAATGGTATGAGAGCCGCACTGGGAGGCCCAATGTGGACCAGGCTTGAAACTCTAAGACTAGAAACGGGTTTGCCCTCTCTTCAAGAAAGAATATCACAAAGAACCGCTGCAATTATCAATAAGATAATTATTTCTCGTGATCCAATCCCAGTATGGCAGGCCTTGGTGGTTGGACTTGGCCAAAACAATGGAAACTCTTGGGCTGCCAGAGCAGGAAATGTCCTAAACAGGCTACATTTAAAAAGCATAGTTCTTGATAGAGAGGGTGATCAACCACACCCAAACTACACTTCTTCCGCACCGTGTAAGGAGTCTACCTTCAAAATAGTAATAGAAAGTCTCCCAATGAAAAAAGCTGCCTATGACCCAACAATCCTAAGGCCCATGATAAAAACAAATGTATAGCATTGCAGTAGCAGTAGTCACCCACATCTTCACAGAATATGAGGGTGCTGGTGCTGCTCTTTGCACGACCAGCGTACAGGCCTATTGGAGACTGGAAGGACCAGAATCATCAACCCAAACTGAGCTGTTTGTCATACAACAGGCATTCGCATATGTGATTGCACAAAACACTCAAAATGCAATCATACACACAGACTGAAAAGTTGCACTTCAAATATTAGGACAAAAACAGTGGAAAGACAACGTGGAAATAATTACCACCATTTTGTATCTTGGAGCAGTCGCTAAAGGCAAAGGACTCAACATAACCTTAAACGGGATCCCATCCCATTAAATGAGAAAGCCGATGAAATTGCTAAATTGGCAACTCGTCATCCAGTGATACATAAAACAATTCAACCCAGCCTAGAGAACATAAAAAACATCATCACCAAAAAACTCTCACACCTCAACAAAGCTTATCTACACCAGAGAGTAGCTGAAGGTTCGCCCTCTGCAATATGGTATCTTCAGGCAACCAAATTAGAAAGGTTAAATATTTCAAAAGGAATCCACAGGGGAAATAGCTGTTCGATTATATAGACTACGTCTTGGTTACAGACACAATTGGGAGATTGGTGAACCCAGACAGAGAGAATGCATCTTCTGCCAAACTGTCACAGAAAAGCCATTACTTCACAATCTCCTGGAGTGTGAAGCAACCAACGACCTTAGAAGAGCTTTAAGAGTCCCCGAATTTTGCAATAATCACCCTGAAGCCATCAACACAACTACTCTTCTGGTCAAAAAAGGTGTCCAGCAGCTGGACACCCTCATAAATACTGTCAAGCAGTATCCTCTCCCGCGATAGTAGATTGACGATTAAATACGACCTCAGAACACTGAAAAGATTTACTGAACAAAAAATTGTACCACTTACGGGCTATTCATGCCCGTGTCATCTATTGGGTGGCTTAATGTTTATCAATCAATCATCTATGGGCCAATAGGTCTTCTGCAGTTACCTTTGTTCTTATGTTCTTATTATTGTTGTTGTTGTTTTAGATTCAGCTACTCAGAACAAAAGTTTCAAGTAGCACAGACTATGGTAAGCCCATAGTGGACTTACCTGGCACAGGAGCGGGGCTGGTGTGTGTGTTCTTATTAATATCCTCTTTATTATATACATTCATCCACTTGTACACCTTTATCTTGAGGTTATCTTGAGATGATTTTGGTGCTTAGTGTCCCCGTGGCCCGGTCCTCGACCAGGCCTCCACCCCCAGGAAGCAGCCCGTGACAGCTGACTAACTCCCAGGTACCTATTTACTGCTAGGTAACAGGGGCATCAGGGTGAAAGAAACTCTGCCCATCGTTTCTCGCCGGCGCCTGGGATCGAACCCGATACCACAGGATCCCATGCCCAGCGTGCTGTCTGCTCGTCCGGCAGGCTCCCCTATCTATCATGTCTCCTCTAACTCATCACCTTTCAAGCTAATGCAATTTAAACTTTTTCAATCTTTTTTCATATGACAGATTTTTAATTTGTGGGATTAACTTTGTTATCCTACACTGGATGCTTTCTAGTGAATTTATATCCATTCTATAGTACGGCGACCAAAATCGAACAGCATAACCTAAATGGGGCTTAACTAGAGCAAGATATAGCTGAAGAACACCAGGTGTCTTATTAGTAACGCTTCGATTAATAAATCCCAGTGTCCTGTTTGCCTTATTACGAACATTTATGCATTGATTTTTTGGTTTTAAATTCTTACTAGTCATAACTCCAAGATCCCTATTGCAGTCCGACTTCGCAATCTCAACACCATCTAGCTCGTATCTTGTAATTATATCATCATTACCTAGCCTCACAACCTTACATTAGTCAGCATTAAAATCCATCTGCCAATCTTTTGACTACATCAAAACCCTAGTTAGATTGTCTTGAAGTGATAGAGCGTCTTCTTCCGTGTTTATTTCCCTCCCGATTTTTGTACCATCGGCAAATTTGCAAATGTTGCTGCTCAAACCTGAATCTAAATCATTTATATATAATTAGCTGTACCCAGCCACGCATTGCTGTGGCTCAGCAACGTATAAGCGTTACTGAGCCACAGCAACCTTCCCCTCTCAACTAGTCCTTCCCAACATTCCCCCCTCCCACATCCCCTCGTCCTCCCCACCATCCCCCCCTGTCTCGTCTCTTTATCCTCCCCACCATTCTCCACCCCACCGTCCCCTCGTCCTCATAACCATTCCCCATTTCACTGTACCCTCGTTCCCAACATCCCTAACTTCCTGGTCCCCTCGAGGTTCCCAATATTACCCCTCTGGGAGCCAGTCGGCCAAGTGGACAGCACACTGGATTTGTGATCCTGTGGTCCCGGGTTCGATCCCGGGCGCCGGCGAGAAACAATGGGCAGAGTTTCTTTCACCCTATGCTCCTGTTACCTAGCAGTAAAATAGGTACCTGGGTGTTAGTCATCTGTCACGGGCTGCTTCCTGGGGGTGGAGGCCTGGTCGAGGACCGGGCCGCGGAGACACTAAAGCCCCGAAATCATCTCAAGATAACCTCCCCCTATCCCCTTGCCTCCAACGATTCCCCCCTCCCCCATCCCCTCGTCCTTTCAACCATTCCCCACTACCCCGTACCCTCGTCCTCCCCACCATTTTCCCCCTCCCCGTCCCTTTGTTCTCCCCACTATCTCCCGCTCCACCATCCCCTCGCCCACTTAACCATTCCCCACTCCACCATCTGCTCGTCCTCCCCACCATTAACCTCTCCCCTGTCCCCTTGTTCTCCCCACAATTCCCTACTCCCTCGTCTGATGCATTCCCAAATGATCTGATATTCCCATCAGAAAATTGTGGACATCAAGTGATCTGATGTGCCCATTACTGAAATATAAGAAAAACAGTTAGAAAAACAAAATGAAAAACAATGAAAAATAAAAAAACAAACTATTCTCACAAAATGAATGGTATGGTAAACAACACAGCTCAATTCCAACATAATGTCTCACAAAATATTTAAATCAAAATTAAATAAATCAAAATCTATGAAAATTCAATTTATCAATGAAATCGGAAACATTGAAATGGAATCGTACCATATTTAGTATTGCATGTGTTGCTCTTATGTGCAACAGATGGCGATGTTTA